CATCAATATTTTTTTCAGCTGGGAACTTGTATGCCAGAGCCGTCAGCTCACCCAACATCTAATCACACTACTCTTCTTCCTTAACATCCCCTAAAACAGAGGCTGGAAAATGAAATACCCTATTTTTCAGTCTCCTTTGCTGCTAGAGGTAAACATGTCACATTGTCCTGCTTAATGGGCTGTAAAGCAGGAGTCTGTGGAGATTTTTCCTTCCTCCCCCTTTCTCTGTCCTGGAATGCAGGCTTAGTGTTTGGAGTTGCAGCAGCAATTTTGTGTCAAGGAGGAAAAGGCTAAGAGATCTTTTACAGAGATTTTGTTCTTGAAATGGTTGAACTGCCAAATCCATATCAGAATTTGGTATTCTGCTATATGTAATAGAAAGCAATCCCAATTTATACAAGACAACGGGTTGCTGAATCAGAAGGAAACTAGCCAAATCTCCAAAGTCGCGATGCCTTAGTTTTTCCGGAAGAACAGCGCAGAGTCAGCAGTTATCAACCTCCATAATCAGGGTAATTTTCCTTCTCACCTTCTTTTCTAGTCCATTTTCTATTGTTTATGATAGGATACCTGAAACTGGGTGTTTTATAAGGAAAGGGCCTTCTTATAAGAAGAGACCCAAGGCCTCACACAGTATCAAGGGAGAGAGGGCTGAGCATAGCTCAGGTCTCTCTTCTTCTTAAAAAGCCACCAGTTCAGGCTGGGCACCATGGCTCACACCTGTAATCCTAACATTCTGGGAGGCCAAAGTGAGTGGACTGCTTGAGCTCAGGAGTTCGAGACCAGCCTGATCAAGAGGGAAATCCTGTCTCCACTTAAAAAAAAAGAAAAAAGAAAAAAAATAGAAACATTAGCTGGGCATTATTGTGGGTCCCAGTAGCCCCAGCTTCTCAGAAGGCTGAGACAAGAGGATCACTTGAACCCAGGAGTTTGAGGTTGCTGTGAGCTATGACACTATAGCACTCTAGCCTGGGGCAAAAGAGTTAAACTATGCCTCCCAAAAAATAAAAAGCCACCAGTTCCACTCCCATGACAACCCATTCTTGACAGCAGAGCCCTCAGGACCCTATCAGTTTTTAAAGGCCCAACCACTCAATATTGCCACATTGGGGGTTAACTTCCCAAACAAATGAAATCTGGGGGACACATTCAAACCAGCACATCTTCTCTCTAATGTTTACAGTAATTCTTGTAGACAGTATGTTGAGATCACAACTGAATATTTGTGGTTACAGAAGTCTGGAAACACATTGTTTTTTATTTCTTCTGTGAAATGTGAATACGATGACCTTAAAATCCACCCCGGGGCCCAGTTGTCTGGTTGAGAACTGCAATAAATAGGAACCTGTGCTGGTTTACTCAGCCACGTACACAGGTAAGCAGCGAAGAAGAGAGCTTCCCCTAATTCTCTCTTTCTTCAGCCTTGCTCTCTGTCTCTTCCCCCTCTCCCTTCCTGGTGGTCCCCTGGGCTTCGGGGGTAGGCCTAGGGACACCAGCACAAGACTCCTTGCATGGGGCAAGTGGTCCTAACCCTGAAGTTTGGTCTCATGGGGCAGAGAGGAACCCAGAGGGAAAAGAGCCAAAGGTCTCCAGGCAGTAAACCTCTCTGCTACGTGCATTTGCTAACAGTGGACAATACCAGGGAGGCATCCAAAGCTTCTTGCAGATTCCAAAGCCTCCAGAGGAACTGTTCGTAAAAATTGTCTTGAAGAACTGTCCTTAAAAACTAGCTTGGTCAGCTTGGCCCCTGTAGCTCAGTGGCTAGGGCGCCAGCAAAACACATAGGAGCTGGCGGGTTCAAATCCAGCCTGGGCCTGCCAAACAACAATGACAACTATAACCAAAAAATAGCCAGGCATTATGGGACTTGTAGTCCCAGCTACTTGGGAGGCTGAGGCAAGAGAATCACTTAAGCCCAAGAGTTTGAAGTTGCTGTGAGCTATGAAACCATAGCACCCTACCCAGGGCAATAGCTTGAGACTCTGTCTCAAAAAAAAAATTCTCTTGGACATGGACAGAGCCAGAGGAAGGATGAGAAGGGGGACCCGAGACAGACAAAGCTGTGTGTATCTCCTAAGCCTGTGGTCTCCAAGCCCTGGGGCTGCAGAATGGTACCAGCCTGTGGCCTGTTAGGAACTGGGCTACCCAGCAGGAGGTGAGTGGCCAGGGGTGAAGCTTCCTCTGTATTTACAGCTGCTCCCCATCACTGGAGCCATCGCCTGAGCTCTGCCTACCACCACCAACCTGCTCCACCCTCTGTTTATGGAAAAATTGTCTTCCATAAAGTTGGTCCCCAGTGCCAAAAAGGTTGGGGACCACTGCCCTAAGCCTCCAGAGAGGTGGAGATATATCAATTCTCATGATGCATGTATATAGGAGCTTGGATATGGGGGACTCAGGAGAATCACTTCTGCTCTGCATAACAGACAATACAGACACAAAACTGTGAAGTAACACGTTCACATTCAGGTTTTTGAGCACCGGCAGACACAAATTCACTACACTCTGTTTCTGAAGAAAGGTCCCAAGGAGGCAAACGCTCTGTGCCTCCCCAGCTGTCCGCCCTTTTTGTCCACTTAGGAGACAGTGTTGCTTAATTTCGTCCTCAGATTTCTCCTCCCGTGCTCACCTCTTTCCTTCCTGTATAATCAGCTCCTCCTGCACTGGCTCTTGCCTCAGCATCTGAACTTGCTCCCTTTTCGCACCTTGAAGGAGAAACTCCGTTCTCCCTGTGTTCTCTTCTAGGGACCAGCTGCCCTCCTTGCCCAGTCTCGCTCTCTACTTCCAGATCAAGCCAGCCTCTGCAGTCGGAGTTTGGCATCCTCGGTCTGTGAAGCTGCTCTTATTGGGGGCGCTGTGATCTCCTAGTTGTCACGCCCCCGCCTGCATAGCTTCTTCCAGCACGCTCAGTGCTGTCCACCACGCTCTCCTCCCTGAATCCTCTTCTCCTCTGGCTCCTGTCACAGAGCTAGTTACCTCTCCAATATCCAGACTTTCTTCTTCCTTACTCCTAGACCCTCCTCCTTTTCCCCCACTTTCCCCAGACAAGTCAATTATCAGCCAGGGGGCAGCCAGATAATAGTCCTGCCAATGAGACCTAAGTAGAAGCTGTTAGTTGGGGCACCCAGGAAAACTCAGCAGGGGGCACACTCAGCTACTGCATGCCCGCCCATTTACTCTCGACCCTTCCTCCTTTTGCCTGCCTGGAACACGGTCCCGATGGCTGTGGTGAGAGCAGCCATCTTGAACATAAAAATTATAGAGATGTGGATCTCATCAACCTGCAGTTGCGTAACTAATGCCAACAACTGCTTACTCCTATACCTTGTTAACATCGTAAGAAAAATAAATCCCTGTCTTTTTTGATCTGTCGTTACCTGGTTTTTCCATGATGTACAACTGAAACCCTCCTTAACTGATAACGCTCCCCGTGACTAGACCACTCCTGCCCCTCCCGCTGCTCCTTACACCTCTTCAGGGCCGCTCTTCTTCCCTACCCCCTCCATGTTGGTGTTTCTGTCCCTGGTCATCTTCCCCCATTCTTTCCCAAGTGACTCAGCTGCGCCTTCTGCTTCCCAAGCCCCAACAACTCCAAATCCCTACGTCTGCCCGGGTCCCTCTCCACCACATCACACCCTGATGTCTAAGATGTCTAAGTGCCCAGTGAACTGATCTATCTCTTCCTGCCTCTTCCACAGAAGCCTCGTACACAGAATGATTACAGTTCTACTTGCCAGCTTTCTTATAATTCTGCTCCCTGGAGCTAGAGATCCTCACCTTCCCTCACCCCCACACCCTTGTACTTAGCTGGCCCTAAAGTCCCATTTGATCTCTCCCCAAGAGCTCCAGTTTGCTCCCACTTCCTCAATCCCACTGTCCTGTACAGACCGCCATCATCTCTTGCCTGGGACACTACATTTGCCTCCTAACTAGCTCCCCAGGCTCCCATCTACCTTCCAAATTGTTGCTGGATTGGTCTTTTTAAGATGCAAATCTAATCATGCCATTGGCCTTCAAGAGCACCTGGTCCCCCACAGGAAGAGATTTCAGAACTCAGCCTGTGTGTGAGCTGAGCCCTGCACAGCCTGTCCACGCCCTTCCATTACAGCCTTGTGAAATCACCAACAGTTTCCCAAAGTTCCCATGATTTTCCTCATTTCTATGCTTGGCTGTTCTCTGTGTCTTGTAAACTGAAAACTGTACAAAAACTCAGTTTTAAGAGAACATTTAAAATGGTCCGAGCCCTTGTCTTCCTGGGGAATTTTCTAACTTTGTGCATAGAAACTCAATGGTTAGAATTCCAAAGATTTTATATTGTTCATTTAACATAATTGCTTAATTATAATCCCCATTTTGGCCAAAGAATTTTCAGCACTTCACTTTGAACCAAACTAAGCAAAATAAATACTTTGTTTTTTCCTACATATTTTCATTTAAGATTCCACCTTTATCCATTGTAAAACATCTCTCATTCTGCACTCAACAACAAAGGAGATATTTTACTTTTTATGTGGTAGGTGTTAAGGGATCCTTCTTTTACTTATCTTATTAAGAGGAGGATAAAGGAAGAGGGTGTGGAAGTTTACCTTCTAGGATCATGGAATTTTAGGGCCCAGCTCCCTTATTTTCCAGAAGAGGAAACTACGGCTCTATTGGCTCAGGCACACAGCACTACAGAGGTGGTTACTGGTGGAGCACACTTAGACCCTGACTATGGATTCAGCTCCCTCCATCTCATCAGGAAGCAAGACCACCGCCATCTCACAAAGCTTTCCCCATCCTGTCTGCCATGAGAAGAGAGCAAAGAAGTCCCCAAACAGCCAGTTAGGCTAATTCTCTATTCTATTCCACTTAAGGCTAGATGACAACACAAGGGCTTTAGGAAAAGGAGAATCAGGAGAATTAAGCCCATGGCGCTGTTTGCCCCAGGAACGGAGCAGCCCTCTCCCCTCCTTCCCAACTCTGTGCCCTGCACTTGGGGCAGGTGGAAAGCCACTCACCCTCTGGGTGATGGGCTTGCCATCCTGGATCTGCACGGCCAGCCCCATGTCGGAGAGCCTGCAGTTGCCAAGGTCGTCCAGAAGCACATTCTCAGGCTTCAGGTCTCGGTAGATGATGCCGAGGGTGTGGAGGTGCAGCACTCCACAGGCCATCTGGGCTGCATAGAAGACCACGCGGCTCATGGGCAGGCCCCGTGTGCCCACGCTGTAGATGTGGAACTTGAGGTCTCCCCCATTCATCAGGCTCATGACCAGGCAGAGATGGGACTTGTTCTCAAAGGCATAGGCCAGAGAGACGATGAAAGGGCTGTTCACCTTCTCCAAGATTTCCTTTTCCAAGAGAGCCATCTTCTCACCATTTTTTTTCTTCAGTCGCTTCTTGTCTAGTTTCTTACAGGCATACATCTTACCTGTGTTTTTCACCTGGACAGCACATACCTTGAAGGAGAGAAAGAAAGGGAGAGGAAGAGGGAGAAGTAGACAGCCCTGGAGAGAGGTGGGAGAGCAGAGGATGAAGGAGGAGGGGTGGAAATTAGCTGAGGTGAAAATGTGACAGGCTTCTGAGGAAGGAGAAGCTGTAAGTAAGAAGGTGTCTCAAAAAAGGCCAGGCCTGGTGGCTCACACCTGTAATCCTAGCACTCTGGGAGGCTAAGGTGGGTGGATCTTGACTCAAGGAGTTCAAGACTAGTCTGAGCAAAAATGAAACCCCAGCTCTATTAAAAATAGAAAAATTAGCTGGGTATTAAGGTGGACGCCTGTAGTCCCAGTTACTTGAGAGGCTCAGGCAAGAGGATTGCATGAACCCAGGAGTTTGAGTTTGCTGTGAAATATGAGGCCATGGTAATCTACTGAGGGGGACAAAGTCAGACTGTGTCTCAAAAAAAAAAAAAAAAA